CCCCTGATATAACTAGAATGCGACCTTATGTTCTCTGAACACCCTCCCCCTTAATTACTATTGATTTGATGCTTAAAACTTTTTTACTCTACCCTCATAAATGTAATTAAAGTTTCGAAAATGCCCATCAGAGAATTCAGAACAGTAGGTGCTGAGCACACGTATACTTTCGATAAATTCTCATCGGGCCAATTAAATTTAATTGGGAAGGAGTAAAAGGTAAATGGTAAATTGCTGCTAGCAACAGTAGAAGTAACCAACATCCTGTTGAAGAAACCAGTTTTGTGCGCGTAGAAAAACGTCCTCAAAGCTCCAAGCCTAGCATAACCACCGGCATTTTCCACGCTCTCTCTCCCTCTCGTCCCCCCCCACCCTTATTAGCGCGTAACTAGCCGCCTATTACCAACCCCAACCCCCTCCCCTATTCTCATGACTAATTTGCCTGTAACTATGACCATAATTACCTGCAATTTACCATGTACCTTTTATCCCTTCCCATATAAATGTAAATGGCCCGATGAGAATTTATCAAAAGTATACGTATGCTTGCCACCTACTCTTGTGAATAAGTGTAATTATAATTGCCTGGATAGGAATAATCGAAAAGGTACGTTACAAAACTTGATACCTAGAAGTGATCTTGCACGGTCGTAGGCCCTTAGACAAGTTCTGCTCTGTGAATCAACAAATCTTCCTATAAGCTAAGTATGAGCCATTAGCTCTCAGGACTGCTCTTTCTCAATTGCTGCGTGGCAGTATTTTTACACACCAAGGCAAAACCGCCTACGTAGTTAAAAGTAGTTTTCATCATTCCCCAAAAAAAATGAAGGGTGAGGTACGAGGACACGGACCGAAGTATATTTAGACTGAGGTTTCGGACACTTGCTTGGTTCCAACGTCAGGATAACGTGGAGATTCTTCCCGTTTGGTGGGACTGTTTCAGCCTTGTCGCATGCCTGATAGTATATCCGTGCTCGACTCATGAACTCTGACCTCCTTATTTGCTACTGACTGACGGTGAGAATGACTACTAGTGGGCCCGTGTGACCTTGCCCCGCTTGCAGCTGTCGTACCTGTTGGTAAGTCAGCGTGTTCACTGGCCTGCCCGTCGTCTACCGACGGACTAATCGCTTGTTGCTGCCCGCTGAGTTAGTGTAAGTCTCATGGGCGCGGCTGCTAGTCAGCAGCGAACAAGCGGGTTAAAATTCATGAGTCGAGCGCGGATATAATACCAGGCATGCGGCAAGACTGAAACAGTCCCTGCAAACAGGACAAATCACCACGTTTCTCTGATGATGGAGCAAGCGAGTGTCCGAAACGTCAGTCTCAATATAATTCGGTCCATGTCCTCATATCTTCTTCTTCGTCTTCTTTGGGGGAGGATGAAGATGATAAGGTATCTGAACCTTAAATCATTGCGCATAGTAGCTACAAGTGTAAGCCCTACAGCATTAAAGACCTCGCAATACAGCTTATTACCGCCCTTTAAGGCTATTTATCAACCGTCTAGAGGTAACCGTCAATTATATGAATTGTAAAGTAAAGCCCAGGGAATCGTACCGAAGAGGATTTGTTTATCCTCACTGGGCTGAAGATCGTGTTGGTGGTTGTCTTCGACCACCTCCACTGGGGATAGAGGTCGCTGCCACAAACCATACTGCTGGAGGAGTTCCGCAAATTCTTCGTGCGCGCCCGCCAGCCATTCCTTGTTGTCGTTATCTGTCTGAAGCTTCAAGAAAAATTCTTGCATTATAATTCCGACTGAGGGCATAGTGTAAAAATTGTGGGGCGAAGGAAGATAGGAAAGACGAGCGGGCCAGCGAAATTCTCAGCGAGTAAACGTCATCGATTTTTTGTGCAACTGGCCTTTACCTTCAGAAGTATCATCACAACGGTGTCATACCTTCAGCGAGCCCCACTTGTTCTAACAGGCGGGCTGTCCGAATAGGGAAGGAATGTCTTTGGGCAGATGTTACATGTTTACTTAACGGTCGGTTTGCTTAAACTCGCATTATGGTGGGGGTGAGGAGATGAAGCGAGGTCGTAAGTAGATCTCCGTCCTGGCACATTAATATGTGTCCTCTGAAGGGTCTCTTATTAGTAAGATGGCAGTGGCTACTTCGTAATAAGCATTTTGTTTAACGCTCGTGAATGTGAAGATCCGGATGTGAACATTTCAGTTTTATTTTATTGTGACGGCAAAACTGCCTTGTAGGGCCACCTAAATATCTATTATCCCGCGCGACTGACTAAAAGACTTGGTGGTTCAACATTTAGGTCTTGTGTAACGAGTATGAATTAATATGTAATTTGTTGAAAGTAGTCAAAGGGTATTAAATTAAAGCCATTTATAATCGCTTTAATGAGCTAAATATAATCAACACCATCAACATAAACTCCCGTTGCTCAGGCAACTGATGCCTATTGATGGCCATCCGACCTAATATTGGCGGAATTTAACGACAAAAGGAAAATTCTGGCTACTGAAAGTATATAAGTAGTTTATTATTATAAGCCCAAGGTCAATCGGACCTCTAAAGATAGTCCTACCATTGCGACACATCTACAGCTCTGTTTGTAGAGGTGTGGTAATTCGGTACAATTATCTTCACCTTTGTTCGCCTATATCAACGATCGTGCATGATGAACTGAAATCGTGAGCAACCACCGGCGTTAAAAGGAAAGGACAGAGTTTAAACAGCCCGGAGCACAAATTCCGGTGCCC